TAATTATGACAATTTGACTATAAGCGGTCACATGCAAACCTTTTCCGCAGGAAGCACAGCTTCTGTTGTTCACGGATGAGAATCCAAGGTGCCTCTTTCAGTAGATCCAGTGCAGAAATGTGTCTACTGCAGGAAGTAGTCCAGCTAGAAGTAAGTCTGTGCTTCACAAAAGCCGTCTGAATATCTGTCCCTTGTTGCACAGGAATGTTCCGTGCTTCCTGCTACACAGTTAAGGCTAAACAGACCGCTGTGTGTGTGTGAAGCAGAACAGGAGCAGGACAACATCTGTGCATTTCAATAAAAAGCCCTCATAATGCTATTAGCCGGGACAAACTGCAGAGTACCTCAGACTCCCTGTGTGATGTGTAGCCAAGGATATCTGATACAGCGCCTTTAAAAAAAGCTTGGAACAATGAGCATTGCTCCACTATCTGATCAAAGATCAGCATCTTCATTTATAACGTGTGCAGCTTGTGTGCATGTCGAATGAAGCTGGACAAATATCTCTTCAGTCTTTTCAACATGGGAGTTTGGTGGGAGCTGTGCACGACGAGCCTATAACATTTACACCAACCTGTTTAACATTTCTAACACAACAATACCAACGATGGAACTGACATGTAAACTGCAGTGGGAGATAAATGAGTCCTGTGATTAAGATATGTTGAAACCAAAGTGCAAACACTGACATTGTAAACAGCCTTCTTCTGTCTCTCACCCGGTGTCCCAGTGTCTTTAGGGGTGCTACGTGCTCCATCTCGGCCCTGTTTGTATATGAAAGTAATAGTTTCCTCCTAAGATCTAGTGTAAATATGATTTAAGTGTTTGAGTATGTGTGTCTTTAAAGTGCAATCAGCCTAATTAATCACAGGCTTCTGTTGGGAGCAGCAGGGATGATGAGTAATGCTGTTGGGCTGAAACTGAATGGATTGTTCAATTTCTGTCATGGGAATGTGTCACTAGTTCAAAGCCAAGGCACGGAAATTGTTTACTGAGTATTGTGGCAGAGAGAGGGAGGAACACAGTTTGCTATAGATGGGTAAGTTGTACTTGGTTTAAAAGCATGGTGTGAAAAATTTGTATCGCTCTTGCAGCTCTTTTGTTTTGTGTATATTGTTGTTCTTGTCATTGTGTGTGACTCCTGTTGAATAAAAAGCTCCAGCAATTAAAACAATCATTTTCAGAAGCGAGCGGTTGGAATATCCCCGCGCTCGCGATATGCTGACTCGCCACTTTCCCCGCCATTCTTTCCCGCCTTCTTGCTGCGATGGCTGCTCTCCGTACTAATTCAGAGCTCTAATTACTGCAATTGGGAGATGCAAATTAACAGCAATTGGACATGACTGGGGTCATAAATCCGCAGCTCACATGTCGGCAATTTTCAGGCAATTCAGAGCGAACCACAGTAAGCGAGGGGCGCTTAACTCGCTAAATCATTGCAAGTTTCATGAATCATAATGCTTATGAGTTAGAGCGCACACACACAGATGTCCGGTGGGACTGCGCTTAAAGCGAGTGGGAGCCATAGCAGGCGGCTGGGGAAGCCGCTGTGCAGCGTTGACCTTTCCACATCCGAAGCACCACGGGGTGCTAACAGTGTTCTGCTAATAACATTAAAGGAGATATCAAAGCCTCAATTGGACACTTTCTTTTTTAGAATTTATAGAAGGGTAATGCTATTCGTGCCGATCTGGCACTAAACCTCTTCTCCCATTCCACTGCAAAATGGAATGACACAGAAAATTATGGGAAGTGTTTTACGTAGCCCCTGCTCTTACAGTTCAAATAATCAGTAGTTGAGGTCTGTTCAAAACAAAGAACACTTTAGCACATGTGTCTGTAGAAACCTAATTAATGTGGACTCGTCCGAATGAAGCCTGAGATCTGAATGAGTTTCTCCTCGAAGTGTGTATGTTCCACAAGGAGAGCAGAAGCCCAGGGCCCCATCTCTCTTAAACACACACACACTTCCATGGACTCCTTCCTCTGTTGAACGTGTAAGCAGACATGTATTGGATGTGATTGTTGGGGGAAATGGAGTGAACAACCGGTCCGAGGGGTTGTGGGTTTAGGTTGCGGGTTTCAGAGTGACGAGATGCAGAAGCCGGCGGCGCTCGGTATTACCCTGCTGCTTCCTGCCCCTATTGGCCTGGGACGGGGGCTGTGGACGGGACGGCAGGGAGGGGGTTGTGGATGGAGCTTGAGAGAGGAAGGTGGGAGGCCATTTGAAGCCAAGAGGCCATAGCACACCCCCCGGCCCACAGGATCACCCCCACTTCGCAAGGTAATCGGGCTCTCCTGAAGATTCCACTTTCGCTCCTTTTCAACAGGCCCTCTCACTTATTTCCCCATTGGCGCTGCTCAATAGCACTCTTTCAAACGCATTTCCATTTATTTTTCTTCTTTTTTTTGAGTTTATTCGCTCGTGCCAGTCTGGATGCCGCTTCTCAGTTGTTTTCAGCAGCAAAGTGAATCCCTCACTGGTTCCCCCTAATGCTTCAACGGCATTCTGCACCGCGTGCGTGTTTTTAGCAGTATAATCCTTTGTGTGAAGCTAATACCTGGGAGTTTTGCATGTCCCCAATGGGTTCCTCGTTGAATCCTATTACCACTTCAGCACACCCAGATCTGGTACATGATGAGCACTCAGTCTTCCAACTCGTCTCCTCTGTTATGCACCAACCGCCAAGTGAAATTCCTTGTATGTCTGACAGATTTTGGTAATAAATGTTTCCTGATTCCTAACATCCTGATGAATGCTCTGCCCGGCACATGCACCGACCCCAAAAATGCTAAACACAGGAACATAACTTTTGTTGTACAATTCGCCCGCCTATCTTCTGTTTAAAATAATTTGAACATCATTAATTCTCTGGCGGTGATGTGGTCCTGCGTTCTAATCCACAGCACCGCCATGCCTCTGCTCCTCCGCCTGCTGTTTCCCACTGCAGCCCTCAAGTAGGATGGAGGTTTTAAGTTTGAGCCACAATATATTGTTGGACGGGATCCCTCATATTTCAGCACTGATGCAGTGCGGGGTTTAAATTGTGTCCGAAGAGGGAGAGATGTTTTTTTTAAATAATAGCCGTGGATGCCATGAAACAGAGCAATCTCACTGCACAGCCTTTTGATCCACTTTTTATAAATAGCTGAATTTTGTCGTAAAAAATAATGTTACTGTGGTCTTTTCCTGCAATTAAAAAAAAGTTGGCTAGGGAACAAGGGTAAAGCTAAGTACTTGTGTTTGAGAAAAATGTTCTTTCTCCTTTACTCCCCCCCTCTCTCCCCTCCTTTCTTTTATTCATCTGCTAAAGTATGTCATTTATGACTTGTTATTTTCACTTTTGCTCCATGCTTCCCACATGTTCGTAGAGGCGGGCAGATGTCTGATCCTGGCATGGCATGTCCGGCAGTGGGGCGTGTTCCACCTGCCGCTCTGCGTACCGCGCATTCCCAAGGCGTTCTCCGGTTCCTCCCGGGCCGAGCCATGTGGTCTTCACATGACCAATCAAATATGTCAAACCAGGCCGTGTTTTTCCCCCACATGTACAACAAGAAAATCTGGCTTCAATTATTATTGCACCCCAAGGGGAACTTCCAAAATTCCTCCCCTCCTCATTTGTCAGAAATGAAGCTGTCTCGTTTCCTGCGATTGGCTGAAATACGTCTTTTGATATTAAATCACGCCGGTTTCCACTGGCTGCATGACCAAGACAAATGTTTATCATATTTATTTATGTCATCGGAGATGACCCCGTGGCTCGGCAACGCAGGAGACTTGGCCCGCCGACTCCCATGTAATGTTGATTATGAGTAAGAGAGTAAATAAGCCCAAGTAAAGAGATCATTTGGAAAGCACATGAGGTAACTGTGGTTTGTTTAATGTGAAAAATACCGTTCAGGGTTTGGGGAGGGTGATGGAGGTACTGTTACAAAAGCCCTAATGAATCTCGACTGACACATCCCACCCAAATCTTGGTTTGATTTGCGTTACGCTGTGTTGATAAATGTGGTTCCAAATGTTGATTACGGATCTGTTTCACTTGTTTGTCGGTCAACAAATCCAGATAAATCCAGTTATACACCTCTGATCTCCCATTGCAATTGTTTTTATACTTGGTGCTGATTGTCATAACAGCATGCTCTGGTAGAAACCAGCGTGGCTTTGGGGGGGGGGGGCTATATGAAAATTGCCATTGACATTGCAGAAACAAATAAAACTACTCATGGTGCCACTACATCTGTAGCCATTTTGAGCCCTTATTTATACCATTTAAGCTATCATTTGAATTCACCAGCACAAATAAACATATCATAACAAAGCAAGAGCCCTGATGTCATGTGCAGATGTCGAATTCTGATTATTCCTCCTGCCTCATCAAATTTTGCCTTGATGTTGTCTCTCAAAAGGCAAAAATAGATGACATCACTTTTTAGCTGGGCTCGATTCTAGTACAGTATTGCCCGCTCCTGACCATATCTCTGCATCTCTGCTACCATATCACAGTTGTGTATACTCTACAAGAGTTTCTGGACCCCAAAAATAGAAAGAGGGAGGCCGGTAAGAGTCTGCAGACTACTGTGCCGTCCAGCCGGGTTTCAGCCATGTTTACTGCCAACGATAAGATGGCATACATTAGAACTTCTATAAAAAGGCAAATGATTTCACCTGAGGGCCTCAATGTTATTTATCCGAGGGCCTGGCTGTAGCAGAGGCTTTGATTTAGTCATGAATCATCCAGTAAAAAAAGAAATTCTTCGAAACCACAAGAAGGCAGAGGGAAGAAGGACGTCCGTAGTCGTTAGGGCCTGCTGCCAGAAGCTTTTTACTGGTTCAGGATAACCGACTACCTCTCCTCCTGTTTTATACATTTAGGTTTGGTGGACATAGACACCTACTTGTTAACTCCTGCAACATGAAGTAATCCTCTCAAATATCCAAGTCGTAACTGTAGGATCGCTCAACAAAAACTGTCTGTTTCCCCTCTACTCCTCTCTAGACACGCATTGCACCTGGGCATCCTGCGGGACCCAGGTTCAGAGGTGGAGGACCGGCAGTATCAGGTGGACCTCCAGTGCATCAACATCGGAACAGCTCAGTGGGAGCAGCTCAAGCCCGATAAGGAGGGAGCCAAAGGAGGGGTGTCCGCGGAGAGTGAGAGGAGCTCGCAGAACCCGGCTTTGGAGTGGAACATGGCCAGCAGGTCAGGAGGAGGAACTTCAGTATTTTATACTATGCTGTGTGATTACTTCAAAACACCAATAATTATGATTTTTTGATTATTTTTCTTTTTTTTATGTTTCAAACACGAAAGAAAAGACAAATATGGACAATAGAGCACCATAATAATGTATTTACTTTCCTCTTGTGGCTAACTGACGTGCTAATCCCTTAGCACAGTGAACCATTAGGCATTTAATAATCCACACAGAGCCACATATTTTCACCAGGACTTGACATTATAAAACCAGGTCTAAAATATTTGTGATTACAGAAACAGGTGTAACTGCTTGCAGGGGTCAATTGTTACAGCCCAGTCAGGTGCTGTGTGTGTGATCTACTTTAAAAATGTCCCAATGTGTATCTCACTAGTCTTGATGTGGGAGCAACATGTAGTTATGCAGTTAGCTCCCTATCATGGAGCCTCTCCATGCACCGTCATAATTACAAACCCCCGTCATTTTTTATAGACTTAGGAGCTAAAACAAGCAAGTATAACAGCCTGTTTGGCCCCACATCCTTTTTCCACTCATGTTTTGAGAGGGAACAGGCCCAAAACTCACAGAATTCAAGACAAGAACTGCAGATTTGTTCCCTGTCGACTAAAAATAGGTCTTGTGGAAGAACCAACACAGGCTTGATTCAGAAGTGTCCTCGGGTCAACAGAGTGTGGAGGGATGCTGGCTTTGATACACACCTTTCATACAAAGACACACTCAACCAAGCTCTCCAATGCAGAGCACATACACACGCTGAGATTTAGTGCGTGTCTTACATACACGCACACAAACACACACACACAGCTTAATATGATCAATTGCTGCTCCTGCTTGTGAAGCTGAGCCCTCAGCTGTTCGATCTTTTACTGGAAGAACTGATTTGTCATCCAACTCTTTCTCCTCCCCAATTTTCTGCCAGCTATGTACTTGAGGCGAAAGCTACCCAAAAAACTTGACTTACCTCCTTCAACAACAACTACAAAACACTTTTCAGACATGTAGGAAGCCCTTAGAGGTAACCGACAAACTGAATCATCTGAATAGTTTTCTGTACTTTAAGTATCTTTGTATTTTCCCTAAATAAATTGGTGAAATGGGTGTTGAAGAAGTTGTGTTAAAGGTGAAGTCGTGTTTGCTTTCATCTGCAATAAACAGGTGATTCTTTTTTAACAAAACAAGGGAGTGAACCTACAGGATGTTTACTCTGATTAATTTTCACTTTCCCACAGTAGTATTGGTCTCGAAACCTCCGCTAGCCGTTCCGGATCTGTTGTAAAATAGCCCTTTGAAGTGGTGGACCTCTGCATTAGCCTGTTAACCTCTTACTACTGAGTCTAAAGAGCTCACACACTGATGGTTCAATCGTCATCCCTTTTTGTGTTTTTTAAAGTTGAAATTCGAACAAGTAAGCAAAGTTGTATTTGCCGCTGTAACCAAGGGTTTTTAACCCACACCCTCACTCTCAGCTTCCAAACAAATAACAGGAGGTGGCTGCGGCCGCTTCCTCGTTCCTCCCTCTCTCCTCGCCGTAGCCCGGGAGCCACCGGGGGTTCCGTTGGATGATTTGGCTCCGCTGTGCCGCCAGCAGCAGTACCAGCGCGTCGTAAATGAACGTGTGATTGAGAATGCTCCAACACACCAAGGAAAGGGGGGAGTCAAGTTCACAGATTGACTTGTCTGCTGCAATCACCCGCAAAAACACACCACCTCGCTTGTAATACGATTTGACACGCAACACTTCCGAAGTTCACACCTTTCCCCCGTTTCCTGCATTGATTCCCCACCCCCCTCCCCCTACTCCCATCCACTCTCCCTCCAGCTTTGGAATCATAGCGGTTTTATAGTTGCGGACCCCGATGTTTCCTGAGGAAATTCCCGCGCTGTGGATCCTGACAGGATCTGTCCTCGTCGCAGCGTGTATTTGCCGGCTAAGGGAAGACCTGTGTCCCGGAGCTGTGAACTCTCCCCTTCCCCGTATGCCACCCAGTGCAGGTTTCCCCGTTTGCACCCGTGCCACGGATATCTCCACTTACTGTTCACACTGTGCCGCTCTGCATGAAAACAGAGTCATTCTTTCCATCGTTTGTGTTCCACCAGCCCCGTGGCAGAACCAACGTATCGCTGGTAAACCGAGCCCTAGGCCTCTCGGCCCCGCTGGTGAATGATAGCACCTGTCCCCTGCAACCAGACCCTCATTGTTTCAATGCCTGTCTGAGGGGAGATTAGCCAACAGCAATTGGGCCCACAGATCATTTCACCTCCGAATTAGGGCCTCCCTCTAACGCTCGGCGCAGAGAAATGTGTCAGGAAATAATCCCTTAAGGGCACTGGTAATGTACATTTGTGTAGCAGAAGTGAATATGATATTGGTGCTGGTTAAGCACTGTACGTTAGGCCACCTAGAAACTGGGCTTTTTATAATCTTGGCCAACTGTAAATATTGGAAGCCGTATCACTTGATTGTTTTAATAGCAGCAGATGTGGCAATTAACACCACTTTGTAAAGCCCCCATGTATATTTGTTTTACTGCTAACAAATGTTCCCACAAATATGACTTGATTGTGGGAATGAGCATTAGTGGAAACGGGGAGGGCTGAGGCGAGAAGTCACCATTTCATCTTGTGTATACAATTAAGGGGTGTTCCCAATTGAGACCTGTCAAATAGCATCTCACTCCGTCTCTGTGGCCATGCAGTAATCACGCACCCACCTCAAATGTGCTAGACCAGAAAGCTTTTCCCTAAAGCTCACCTATGGGAACATTGCTTGGCCTGCAAAAGTCCAGCTCAGATTTTTTATTCCACTGTTTTTCGAATTTAACAAAGGAGTCTGAAATGGGAGTCAATATCAAACAAAACAAAATGCTCTGTTTTTGCAGATGGCAACAGTGAACTAGAGTATAATTCAGTAGTTGACTTTTTGAATGAGGTACCCTGTCTCCAAATATCAAAGCGGCGTCTGCTAACTGATCCTGTGTGTATCTCCTTTCAGTATCAGAAGGCACCAGGAACGGCGGGCCATCCTCACGCCCATCCTCACCGACTTTTCTGTCCGGGTCACTGCTGCCCCGGCCATCATCTTCAGTAAAAATGTCCCCCCTGATAGTGGACAGGCAGAGGTCAGTGTCCACCCAACTCCGCCTTCTATCCATCTGGCTTACACCTTTCTCTTTCAGCGAGTTCAAAAAGTAATAGTCAGCAAGTGGCCGTATCGAAATGGTTGCGATAAACGTTCAAACTAATACATATCACCACAAAACTTTGCCAGTTGATTATTACATGAAGTACATATTTGTAGTCTTATATTCATATGTTCAAATTTGAAATTTTCCAGATCAGAAATGTGAACGTTGGACAAAGCCAGGTTCACACTCGTCAGACATATTGTAGACATATTGGAGTCAAAAGATTCTACCGAGGGGATTTTGAATATTGTCTTTTATCACTTTATAATGCTTTGATGTTTTTAGTGATACAATGTTGTACTAACAGGCTGTGAATTGTATCTGAATAATCCCCTCCGTAAAATCCTTCATGATTTAAAGAGGAATCAAACTCAGGTTTGGTTTATTTAAGTGCTACTGACGTTTCTGAGTGATTCACAAATGTAAAGATATGTATCGTAAAATTATATTTTTTCGACACTACAGGAGGTGAACAGAATGAACTGATATATATATATATATATATATATATATATATGATAGATGATAGATATGACACTCACAGTTGAAGAGTACCTATGATAAAAATTACAGACTCCCTGCAAAATCGGCAGTATATGAAATACTGGTTCTCCCCACTGTATGTGAATTGTCAAAAGTATTTACTCTCTGCCTGTGCAACATACAATAACTTACTCATTAGGACTCCCTCCGCCCGATCCGCCGGGTAATGGAGGCTTCTGACCCACACAGTTCAGAGCCTCTCTGCTTATACAGCTGATGTTTTCTGGCCCGGCTCCCTGAGACTTCCTGCCGCTTTGATGCCTCGTCCATCCACGCTAACGTGCCCCCTGACAATGTGTAACAGCTAATCCATAGTTTGCTCTGACGCGCACACACACACACACACACACACAATGTGAGGTGCATAATTCCCTGGCATATGGAAAACTCTGAGCCAGTAACAAAGCAAACAGGACTTTTTACAATTTTTGTCATGAAGTTATTTTTCAACTAGCTTTAAACTGTTTATTTTTTACGTATTAATGCATTCATCATCATCCTTTGCAAAAGTTATTCATCTACAGTTTGACTTTGTATTCAGTCCTACACCATAGCATTCTATTGTGATCTTGCATGTCAGAATAACTGCTACTACTACTGCTACTAATAACCAATAGATTATATACATATGTATGTTCTAGGTAGGACTGTGCGGTATACTAGTTAAAGCAGTACTGGTATAAGACTCCGGTACGGTATGAATTTTTCAAGATCAAGTATCATTCACACCACTGGGATGGATAGCAGTTGGAGTAACTTGTCTTGCATGTGTTGAGATTGAGTCAAACACCACACACCACAACTAAACAGCTTGTGACACATGAACAATTTGTAACACTAATAATTGCACATTTATAAAAATGATCCCGCCGAACTGCATGCTGGGTACAGCTCACAACAAGTAACTCTGTTGCTACATGAAAACACGGAAAAGGGTGATACATGAGGAACAACGAGAGACCAGAGATGCACCACAACACAACTTGTGCCCAAGAGAGGAGCTGTGTCTTTGGAGTTTGTTTTTTTTGTCTGTTGAGCCGCTGGTATTGCCTCTGGTGGCAAAACTAGCAGCCACAACAAGCTAATACGCTAAAGAGCTAATAAGTAGGGTTGCCACCCGTCCCTTAAAATACGGAATCGTCCCGTATTTGAGAATAAAATAGCGCATCCCATTTTGAATCAACTCGGAAAATACGGGACAAACCCTGTCCCATATTTTCATATATTTAATTAACTGGGTTTTTACACAAAATAGACATGAATCATAAAAATACCCTTGGTAAGATTTACATTTAAAAACGTACAATTTAATAAATAAATGGACTTCAACTCCGTTTACGTACACACTTGCTAGTGTTAGCTTAGTTTGTGCAGCTAACAGCGAACTTCATTCAGAAACATTCATACAAATATGCTAAACTTTTAAACTATGTTTATGCTAAACTGGCTAAAATCTGGGAAAATGTCAGGTGGACATCTGAAGCTATCAGTCATGAAAGGGGAGAGAGAGAGTGAGCAAATGGAGGCAATAGAAACGAAGAGTTAATACTCACGACTCTTACTTGTTACCCCTCCTCTCTCTCTCTTGCTCCAGCCTGAGCTGTGTGTGAAATCCTCAAATCGACTCCTCCTTTTTATTTATATCTGTTTGACTATACAAGGGCGGTTTTTCTTCTTTACGGGGTTTACTGTGTTAATAAAATTCCCCTACCTCTGACGATCAGTTGTGAATTTTTTTAATTTTAAATAATGTAACCACAATCTATGGTTAATTGTAAAGTAATGAGCCTGTGCCCTCGCTTTCTAAAGCTGTTTAAAGGTGACAGAAATTTTGAAATTATTGAAACGTTGCAGTGTTTCAGTTTGTTTGCTTCCTTCCGATTCAGATTAATACGATACAATGTTGCAATTTTCCCTTTGTTCAGTTTGTGTTCATACTGCAACATTTATTGTAAACAAACACCACACGTGAACAAACTGTTCTGTCAGTGTTGGGGATTGGGGGTGCAAAAACCCAGTCGGGATGTAGAAAGGGGTTCGTGGCCTAAATAGTTTGGGAACCGCTGTACTAGATGTTCCTGAGTTTAAAACATGGAGACCAAGGGATGTCGAATGGTTCAGCCAGACTGACTAAAGAAATTTTTTGAATCAGAACAGAAGAAACCAGCATTGGAAGAAGAAACTGGAGGCTTAGCATCAACATGTGTTCAGATTTGAAAAATAATATCTTCACTGTCACAATAAATAAACAGGCACTATTGGAATATGAGCTGAACCAGTCCCAGTTAAAATAACTTCAGTGTTACCACAGAGTAGAGCGCAGAAGGCTAGAAAGTGAAATACACTTACCCAAAATGCAAAACGATTGTGGTTCAGTAACGATTGAGACTTTCTAGACGGGAACACAAACTTTAATAACACAAATATTTAACGGTGGTCTCACTGGCATGAAACACTGGGGACATCAATCTCAATTTTAAGATTGGGACCACACCTATTTCACGTGTAAATAATACACTTCGTGTCAGATTTATTCCCCACATTCTGATTCTTGTTCTTCTCCTTGATAAGATAATAGGAAAAAAACACAAATAGATTTATGACATTGAATATTGAATTGAACACTTTAACAGTCCTTTTATGTTTGTTTTTTTAACAGTGGGTTGGTGTAGATTATGTTTACACGGTAGTCTGGCCCGTGTGTGTGTGTGTGTGTGTGTGTGTGTGTGTGTGTGTATATGTGTGTGTGTCTGCGTGGTTGAACCCACAGTGATATCCTGTTGGAGGTTTGAACTGCTGGCAGTGGGCGGGACCCTAGAGAGGAGAGAGAGGAAGCAGGGTGCAGACTTAGCTAAAAAGTAACAAGATAGAGGGGGGATAGAACGTTAAAAAAAACAAAGGTCACAAACTATCCTAGTGTGTATTAGAAGGTCTTTTCCCGCTCTGTCCCACCCACCTTCCGTCTTTCCCTTTCTCCTATGTGTAGGAGGTGGTGGTGTGTGGCCACTCTCTGGAGGTGAACGTGACCAGCAATCTGGACTTCTACCTCAGCGTGGCCCAGGTTCAGCTCCTGCAGCAGCTCCTCAGAGACAACCTGGTGGGGACGGAGACTCCTGAATGGAGCTCTGAGGTGCGTATACTGTCATCACTCTGGGAAGTGCTGTTCCACATACTAATCTCTGCATGGCTCTACACATGTTTGGCTTAAAAGGAACCCTTTCCCCTCATCCACTGGTTCCTCGCTATTTCAGGCAACACATTTAAATATTTACCCACTGTTAGAGAGGCTGCTTCTCCCGTGTGACCCAAGTTTATGGCGCCGTGTTTTAGGGTCCTCTCTATTGTTTACAGGACAGGCAACTCCCAGGCGCCGTCTGACCGCTTTACACGACTTTTCTAATGGAACACAATATAAAAATATTTACCAGCTGCATCGAGGATGGGGGTCACAGAGGAGGCGAGGGTAACGGGGGCGGGTTACTGATTTGTCCTATTTGGTTTATCTCAGGATAAATGTGCAGCAACTGCGTCAGTGGTTGAACTTCAAAATATAATAACAACCAAAATTATTATAGTAATGACTTATAAAACTATTTTAAAAACAAGTTTGAAAGGGTCTCCATATGCAATATATATATATATATATATATATATATATATATATATATATATATATATATATTTAAATCATGATAATAAATAAATGTAATGTATTATAATACAAAACCGTAAACCAACAGTAAAATTAATAAAAGGCCAGTCTGAAATACTGATATAATGATGACTTACACTCATCTCCTGAAGGTCATTACACAAATAGTGGTACTCTAGTAATAGTACAACTGTGATATTCAGATCAATGTTCCTGAGGACAGAACGGATGGTGTGAAGTGTGCTCAGTGCTTTACATATTCATGTGTTTAGTTATTTATACAGTCAGAGGGGAGGTGACTGCTGTGCATCTGGATCTGATTTGGGAGTCCTCACCCCTGACTCGTAATGATTCATGGCTCAATTCTGTTGAGGGGCAGCTAACGGCCGCAAAGGGTTTATGCAGGTTCAAGGCAGGATGAGAAAGTTCAGCTAGCAGCCATTCAGGGAGGTCTACCGGCAACCATTTAGAAAAACAACATTCAGCTTTATTCTGTAAAGACAGGCTTCACTTTCTTTTACCTTTATTTCTCCTGCAGTGTAAACTCTCTTCCAACGTTACACACACACACACACACACACACACACACACTCACACTCTCTCACACACACACACACACACACACACACACACACAGTAAACCTTCCCCATTTATGCGGCACAACCGGATGAGCAGGGGATTTGGGTGGTGATCATGGCCACTGTGCAAGTGCTGGCAACGTGTCGTGCCTTTCAGCCATGTTTTCTAGTTTACTCACAGACTAGAACAGTCTTTTTGTTCCCAAAAGATCTCAACTCACCACTGTGTTATTGCTGCCTTCAAATGGATTAAATGGAATTGAAATGACCCGTTGGTCCAGAGTGATGTAATATAATGATCATCCGTCCACCACTGAGAAATGAGGTGTATACAGTATGCTTGGGAAAGTGTCTGCTTTCATTTAATATTCAACTTTTGGTCACAGTTGTTTGGAAGTCTCACTTGTTCAGAGATTTGTATTATTCCGCATTCATTTCAGGCGCATATTCCCCTGTTCCTTACTCGTTGGGGGTTTTATAGTAGTGCTATTATGGAGCGTAACAGTGTCATTAACACTGAGGTCAGTCCGTGTGTGTGTCCTCACCTTGCTGCAGCTGCAGAGCACCGTGGTTACTCCGAAGACATGTTATTCAGACTTTGGCTCTATTTGGACCCTCTCTGTCCGTCCCGGTGTCCTCAGCCTTTCTGGCGGCTGCCTCTGTCCGGCTGCTTGGCCCCGGATTCTGCCGAGAGAGTGCGGGGAGGGGGTCAGTCATTGTGTGACTTGAAGATGTGTCGAGGGTCCGCGGGAGCTCATTCTGCAAGCTGCAGAGCCCTCCAGTGGCGTCTCCAAGTCCAGCATGGGGTGGAAAGGGGTTACTCCTCCTCCCCAGCAGCCCACTCACACGTGAGACACAGCACTATCAAGGTGCATCAATAGTACGAGTGCTGACATTGTTTGGCGTTTGAAACAGGTGGAGGCTTTTTGAGCAAGAAATCAAACTGATACCTGTCCATCCCCTGCAGCTTACAAATGATCAGTCCATATATGTCCACTGCCAGTTTCCACAATAACACTGGATTGTGTGTCTTTTATTTTCCAAGACCAACTTCCGTAATGATATTCATAGTATTTGACAGGTTTGTTTGTACTTCCTTTATACAACCTGTTCAAAGGATTCAACTAGAAACAGGTCTTGGATCTGAAGCATCTGGTGGGGAGGCGGGGGGGGGGACTGTTTTTGATGTCGTGCCTAGTCAGCACTGTCCCCGGCAAGAGTTTCAATTAAACACTGCTCACTCTCTCTTTCATTTACAATCCTTTCCTGTTCTGTTTTTAATTTCTTTTCTTTTTTTCCTTCTCTCTTCTTGTTCTCCTCGATCCCGGGCGCTGATTTCAAACGCTTCCAATCGCCCCTCACAGCTGTGTTTCATTGTCTGGGTTAATTCATTATTTTTTTCACGGTTCCCCAGCCGTGGTGAGGCGAGCCAGGCGCGTGGGCCTGATGTGTTTGTGTGCAATTTCCGTCTTTCATTTTGCATGGAGCTTTGTATGTGTCCACTCTCATATGATCTTATATCATAACTCTTCCTTCCATGCATGCAGCTGCTGTCCAACTCTCAGTCGACAGCTCTAATACCACTCGAATTCTGATTGGAATGCAAGAATGCAACACGCTTTCAAAGCACATTCAGCTGCGTTATTGGGATGTTTATTGCCGCATTAGCCACGGCCTGTTTGACCTCATCTCTGTATTGTTTTGCTGAATGATGATGACTGGCGCTGGTCGGAGATCAGGCAGCTTTCAGCAGCAGGAGGTCCTACAGTCAGGGGGGCTCTCGGAGACTCACCTCACCGCTCTATCCTCAGACAGCGTCACCCTGCAGTACGTCAACGTGTAAACCCTTACAAACGCATGCACACACATGGGCCCCACATTGTCACCATGGCGACTGCCTGCAGCCTCTTATTTGGAAGCAAGCGCGCTGATACTACTTCATAACTGAGCAACTTGTGTGTTTTCAGATCTTCATCCACCCAGCAACCGCCACGTGTTCTTTCCCTTTGCCACCTCCATTCCACCCGATCTTTGTAGCAGATTTTACCTGTCATGGTCTCCATCACCGTCATGCATGCGTCATCGCCATAATGTCAAGCTCCCAAAGTATTTCAGTGATGATTGTTTCTCTCATGCCTTATTGTTTGGTCCCTCTCTTGCTCTCTCTTAAACACACGCACACACACAAAAGCAAAGGCAGCCCGGGTCGGCCATGTGCTCGTACCACAGCGAGAGGAAAATACCCTCTGGTGCAGGGGAAGTCCCTCTCGGCTTCATCCTCCACCTCATCCTGGGATGATTACACGCATGGGAAACAAGGCTTTAGACCTCCAACACACACTAACACGCGCACGCACACACACACACACACACACACTAAGCCAGCACCCATGTTCAGGACCGAGGTATCAGGCCTCACAGGAACCTCTGAATTAGAGTTCTTTAGTGAATACACATGGGGGGCGCCTTCCAATAGCCAATTACCTGCCTTATCTCTTCTCTTCCTTCCTCCCTACTTCTCTTTGTCTTTTCTTGTCCTTCCTTCCATCGTAAGACGTTATGTGTCTTTATTTCCCACCCGCTTTGTAGTTGGGTCACCAACTTCTGAAGTCTCTCAACCATTTTGACTTCATCCCTCGTTGTCCACTCTTTCCCATGCTCTTGGTCTCATCTCATTCGTCTCTTTTTTTCCTCTCGTGGGACTGGCACAGCTCCTGGCTGGAAACGTCGACCCTTCCAGAGCTGGCTAGTTTAATAGCTTCAGCTGGCTGACAGTGGGAGGGTTCCTCCTCTGGAGACAGATTGAATATGACAGTTTTTAGATTAGGACATCACGGTACCATCACACGCCTGCATTAGGGATGCACTCCGACCCAAAGCTGGACCATGGACAGCGTGGGTAGGTGGCCAGCTAAGACGCACCGCCGTGAGCAGTGAACTCACAGCGGGAGCGAGTGCTCTGGTCGGTAGCTGCTTTGGTTTCTCAGTGGGTTTGGACAGCAGTCAAGTTATTAATGGGGAGGAGGCGGTGTTTTATTGAAGCATGTCTTTTTGTGTGCACATAATCACACAACCACGCCCAAATACAGTTGTGTTTGGTCTTAGGCCCTAAAACTACCGTGTTTTATGGTCTGTACAAATAAATTATTGCATTGCTAATAATTAGTGACTCAATAATAATTTTGAATCATATAGTCATTGTCATTAATCATTTAGACACTATGAATAACTGCAAGGTATTGGAATAGATTTAAGTATAGTTTTTAGTTTTAGATATAAGTTTTCTAATTTAAAAGGAAATGGAAGGAAAACTTGCTGGTATCCAGTTTGTACTGTGATGTGGATTAGTGGTCAGCATAGACGCTTTGAATGTTGCTGCACTAACTCTTTAGCTCGCAGGTGAGCAACACGACCAAAGCCGTGGAACTAATGGAGCCCTTCCTGCAGCCCAAGCCCCCCTCCAGTGTCTTTCTCTGTGGTAGAAGGGAAGCCCAGTGACCTCTTCTCTCCCTGTTGTATAAAAACTCAGTACTGGCTGAGCATACAACCCGGGGGCCCGGATCCTCGCCTGCGTATGTTTCAAGTGAAACCATGTCCAGGGCTGCTCCTCTCCGCGATGAGTGTTTCATATCGTCTCGTGGCCGTTGGGCTATGAGAACCCCACTTACTCAAATCTCAACCTCTGATCTTTCCAGGACAGTGAGGTGTGTGAGGAGCTTTTATCTACTCCGCTGGGCCAACAGAAACAGAGACATCAGATGTGAGGGGAAAAAACTCCCTAAAGGTGCAGGGAAAAGGAAGGGCCGAGAAAGTGGAGACAGCTTATAAGAGAATGGTCCAGATGACAGAAACACACAACAGGGGCGGAGGGGGTGGGGGGGGGATGAGACATGACACAG